TATAGAGGAGCGAAACAGTTAAACTATTGATATTGGAAGAAGAGAAATGCTATTCATCCCCAATGGGGATGCATTCCCAATCTATGTGACGTTAATTTGGAATTAAATGATAGGTGAAATTAAATAAATCATTTAATTTCACCTATCATTTAACCAATCATTTATATCCACATAGATTGGAGATGCATCTCCGAGATGAATAACATTTTTCCCTTTAAAATGATGGACTCTTAGCTGGAGGCATGCGCAGTTACATTCACAAGGGGAAAGATAGAAGGCTGATGGGCTATTTCCAAATATGTAAAAAGTAGCATTTTTTCTTTTATTAATTTCTCCATCAACATCATGGTTCAAGCTGTGGGTTTGACTATGATTCCAATATGGCACATTTCAAGAATGCTTTTTAGAGTCGAAAAAGTGGGAAATATGCATAGTTTTATCATTGGGTTAAATTCACTTGTGGCCACTCAATTTTATATTTGGTATCACCAGGGTCATTCTATTTGATTTTGTTTCACCATGGTCACTAAACTTTATACTCAGTGTCACCATGGCCATTCAATTTGATTTGATTTCACTAAAACCATCCAATTTCATATAACGTTTCAATATGACCACTCAATTTCATAAAACATTTCACCATGATCACTTGACTTCTTTTCCCCATTTTCATTAATTTTAAAAGGGGTAAAACGTTAAATTTGCATTTTATATATAAACTTTTTACAAAAAAACAAACTTAAAACATTTATTTTAAAATAAGTTTTTATTTTATTTTATTTTTTAAAGAACATTTTTTTAATAATTTTTTGTTTTATTTTTTTTTCTAAGTAAATTTTTTTTTTTAAAAAATAAGCTTTTTTATTTTAAAAACTTTTTTTTTAAAAGTTTTTATTTTATTTTATTTTTCTAAATAACTTTTTTTTAAAAAAAAAATAAGTTTTGATTTGATTTTATTGTTTTATCTATAAAGGTAATAAAATACCAATTTTCACCTCTAATTGACATACCATTTAATTCACATATATTCGTATGAATTAATTCTAAAATATTAGAAGTCCTATTTCACTTTGATAAGGTTTCTTGGTCATTTCATATTCTACACATGTTTTACATTTAAATGCATTATTTTTTATTATATGATATTAAGTCACATTTTAACATTATTTTCATGGCACCCTTACCTTTGTGTCATAATCTAGCATGCTCTAAAGTAAATGAATCAACAATATCAACTTTATGAACAGTATAAAGTTTGATCATTCATTCACTAGAATAGTATTTTCCAACAAATTTTTCATTTTGAGATAATACAAGTTTACCGGACTCAAATACTTTTTATGCACGATTTTCCTAAGAAATTATCGCTAATTAAGTTCCTATTCATTTTAGGAACATGTAGTACATTTGTTAAAGTAACAATTTTTTCAAAAGTGAAGATAATATCTACATTTCCTTTCCCAACGACTTTGGAGGGGCTTGCGTTACCCATTTGAATCTCTTGATCTCCATTCACTAAATAATAGGTCTTGAATAAAGACTTATCATATGATACATGTAAAGTTTCCTAGTATCACATGTACAACGCNCGTTACCCATTTGAATCTCTTGATCTCCATCCACTTCATAATATGTTTTGAATAAAGACTTATCATGTGATATATGTATGGTTGCACATATATTATATCACCAACCAAGAACTTTTTTCTTAATTGCATTAATCATGCTTACGGTGGCCATAATATTGTTTTCTTTGATGGAGTTCACTTTTCCTTCGAAATTGTTTTGCTTTCGCTGTCGACATTCCTTTGCATAATGTCTGAGTTTCCCATATACAAAAAGTAATCTCCCTTGGACTTCTTCTTAAAGTTGTCAAAGTTTTTAGAAGGCTTTCTCTTATTGGATTTATTTGAAGGTTCGATCTTCTTTACGGCATTGACCCTTAAAGTGCCTTCGTAAGAATTGGCATTCTTATCAAGAGCCATCAATTCTTCTTCAATTCAAAGATTTTTAGCTCTTGTTCCAAATACATTATTTTCTTTCGATATCATTTTCAAGTCCCTAGGAGTTTTGCAATGATTACCTCCATTTGAAAAGATTCTGGGATTTCCATTTTGACCGCCTTCAACTTATTGACAAGAACTTGTAACTCGTGTATTTAGAGAAGAAGGGGAATGTTATCAAAGAATTTGAAATCGAAATACCTTGATATTAGGAATTTCTTAGGACCTTCTTCTTCGGCTTTATACTTGTTTTCTAAAGCATCTCATTTTTTTTTGCCGATGATGTATTTGTGTAAAGATCGTACAATCGGTCGGGTAAAGGGTTAAGAATATGACCGTGGCATATAAGTTCATCCTCTTAACACTTTTATCTCTCCATATTTACGATTTTAGTATCTTCATCTGTTGAATCTGTAAGTGATACGAATTCTGAATTAAGAATGTGGAAGATTTTCAATGCTGTGAGAAATAACTTCAACTTGTCTTGTTATCTTGTGAAATTTGTCTCATCAAATCGACCTGGCGGACAATATCTTGATTCATTAATTTGATTGTCTTCCTCGTAGTTTTGTTCTCCATTGCAGAATATCGTTTGAGATCGTTGGGAATAATAATTCCAAATAAGAGAAAAGGAATAGAATCAATAACTTCAAGGAAAATTCAAAAACTGAAACACGTAATCGATATCCTCAAACGATAATTGCCCCCCCTCTCGAATTGAATTTCATGCTTAAAGGGACTTTTGGCAAATAGTTTGTAGTATTTATCAAATCTTGAAAAGAAATAAACACTTAAACACTAGCGAAATTCCTTTAAAATTTAAGAAAACAAATATAGAATTTTGAATATGGAAAAAAAAAAAGAATTTTTAATCTTCTTATGGATTGGAATTTGAACTCAAGTGGTTTGTATATATATTGTATTGATCATTAATAACATATATATAGATGTCAACCAATGCTACTCGAAATGATGTCAAAACATGATGAGAATGAGCAATTTTTTTATCCAAAGGGACATCAAGTTTCAAGTTGAAAAATTAGCAAACGACTTATTTTTAACTCTATGCGGCCGCATAGGTTGTTCAATGCCCTGCAAGCCTACATACGACAGCATGTCTCTAAAGCCTATGTGGATGCATAAGCCAAAGTTTTGGCCCTCAATTCTATTTTTATTCCACATATTTTTACTAATTTCGAACAACAATTTCAACATTGTAGTGGTGTCAAGGTCAAGAAGTATGGTTCTTTGATGCGGTTGAGAGTAAGGAAACTTTGTAGGTTTTGGTGGCACAACAGTTGACGTCGTCGGAGGTGGTGGCGTAGAAATGGAGAAGATGAAGGTAAGGTGGGGGTGGGGTGGGGTGGGATTTCTAGTTGGTGTTTTGTTTTTAATTTAATTGTTTTAATTGTTAATGTTTGAGAAGATGTAAATATACAATTTTATCATTTTTAATTTGGTCAAAATTAGTCATTTTTTTAATTTTTTGGTCAACTAACAGTCAAATGGATTATTTGGACTTCAAGTGCTAATTACCGTTGATGATAAAAATTGAAGGTTAAAGTAAAATCTGCAAAAAATACAATAGTTTGGGACCGCTATTGCAATTTTCCCTAAATAAAATAAGAAACTTTTAGGTTGCCTTTTAGTTGTAGTGTTTATGTTGTGCGGTGTACAAAATTTTAATCTAGCTTCGTTTTTTCAGCAGTTCTTTTCAATATTTTAAATAACTAATAATAAAATTATCAATTTTGGAAATGAAATGCATATGTTCAAGTGGAGAGTTGAC